TTTTAAAAGATTGTTAAAAAAAAAAAAAAGATTGTAAAGTAGGGTGGATTTTAATAACTGGAAACTGAAAAATACATTTCATAAAACCTCATAATTGAAGAAGACTATCAAGTCATCAAGCTTATTCTTTCAAACAGGGGCTATACTAGAATTCCCCCACAGGTCACCCCAGCCCTACTAAATCTATACTGAGTGGGGCCCTAACTTTAAAAGCACCCAGAGTCTGAGGTGCTATCAATTTCACAAAGCACTGATGTAGCCTGTACTAGTCTACATGCCTCACTTTACAAATTACCAGAAAGACAGTGGAACAAACTGCAATGTCACGGATACATGATACTATTAAAAAGACTAATTACACAGAAATTGTGCCATTTTTCTTATTGTTAGCCAGCTGCCTAATTTCAACATCTGTACACATAAAATTCTTCCTTCAGCTAGTTTTGGTAGACCTGTATGACCCAGATGCACCGAGTGTTACTTTAAACAGTAATTCCTGTTTATCTCACCACATTAAGCACTACTTTCAGTTGTCCTCTCATCAGATGATTCAATTATTACAATGACTGGCCACCTACTGATATCAAATGCTCCAGAATTCACTAGTGAACACCACAGATAAATAATCTCACATTCAGAAATACATTCTGAAAGATGTAAAAGATCTAAATTACACATTCATCTACATTAACATTAAAAAAATTATACCTTACTCATAACAAAGACAAATATTCAGTAGAAGTCCTTTTTTAAAAAAAAAAAAACCATAAAGATTTGCATTCTAAACACGCAGATTGGGGTTTGATGAATTTTAAGTAAATTACTCCAGTGCGTCAATGACTGCAAAATAACTGCATCAAAACAAATGAAGCAATAAGGATAAGCATACTAACACATCCAAAGGCTTTAAAATCAAGAGGTTCTTTTAAAAATATATATATATTATATATATATTCCCATGCCTCCTCCACTCCATTCTCATCCTGAATCCGTGTTTGGGGGATGGGATGTACAGAAGGGACAAAGAATATTCTGTTTAATTTTTTTAAAGTAGCTTGTCCAGATGCAACTACTGGTAAACCAGCACTTGTGAACTACTTCAGGTAATGTAAATGGAGAACTGATCATGCTCTCCTGGAAGATCTCTGAAGAACTGCTAATGGGGCTTTCCTGATGGTCCAGTGGTTAAGTAAGGATCCACCTTGCAATGCAGGGAACACTCGTGTGATCCCTGTTCCAGGAAGATCCCACATGCTGCAGGGCAACTAAGCCCATGTGCCACTGCTACCGAAGCCCACGCCTAAAGCATGAGCTCAGCCACAAGAGGAGCCCCCGCCACGAGAAGCCCTTGCACTACAACCAGAGAAAGCCTGCACCCCTCCTGTGCTTCTCAGGAACCAATGAAGTGACCAGTTAATTGTTGCCTACAAAATGCGATGGTTTCCAAGCAGATAAACCCCCCTATGAAGACCAAATTCCCACTGGGAGTTTAGACGCAAAGTTCAGCACCTAACCCGAGTCACTAGTCTTCAAAAGGAGCCCAAGTAAGCATTTTAGAATATATTAAAATATCAACTTCCTATTTAGGATAGCAATGATAAACCAACTTCTCAGCAGGGGAAATACAGCTTCCTAAAACTTGCTACCAGACAACTCAAATGAATTGAAAAATGAAGAAAGGTTCAAACAGGAGAGACAGAGGGAAAGACTTGGAAGCAAAAGAAATATGGCAATACCTTCAAGGAACCATGTGAATGTGTATGTCACTGTATTAAAGAATGTAAAGCTGACAGAGTGAAACAGTTAAAAATTTTTAAAAAGAAGCCAGAAGACCCTAATAGCTCAATCATTTTTGGAACTCTGATCTGGCTGCACCCCAAGCCAACTGAGTCACAATTTCTGGAAGTGCGATCCAGCCATCAGTATTTTGCAAAACTCCCCAAGAGATTTCAAAACACAACCAAGGTTGAGAATCACCGCCTTAAACCTTGAAAGTAAAACAACAACAACAACAAAAAGATGAACGTCGCGCAGTAACAAGTTTTCCAAAATGCAAACAATTCTCATTTAAAATGTAAATAATGAAGTATAGACTTTAAATTTAAAGGTGTTTAGAATTATCACGAATTTTAAATTAACATGTAAAAACAGGACTCTTTACAGTATGTAGTAGCTATCTGACCTTGATATAATTCGCAGTAGTAAATAATCAAAACTTGAATTATAAGATTCTGATGATCTACCATCTCACTTCTACACAGGTAAGTGCTACCCTAGTTTTTATCCACTCTCACAGTTAAAACAAATTTTCCTGGATGCCAAGTACACCACGTAACAGTGTCAAGGTGACACAACCTAAAATACTTTGTTCCTGAGAAGCTGGAATTTAGCCACATTTCCTATCACCAAAATTACACATTTTAGGATGAGGGGGAAAAAATCCAAAAATTCTAAATATGACTCATTACTAAGCATATGTTTTGGCATATTATCTATGCTAAGAGTACTGAAAGTTGCTCAAATGAATAATATCTAGACATATTTGTCAACTGCTTGAATTTCTCTTTTTTTTAATTTTTTTTAAATTTGTCTTTTTAAAACAATTAAATCTTCATCAACTGTGGAGCAAAAAATCCAAAATTTAATAATTTAACAAAATGGTATTAAATTCTGGGTTAGGTTTATCTAACTCCTTTAATTTTGGTGTAGAAAACAATGAAATCAATCAAAACCATTTCCATCAGATTAGTTTTACACATAATAGTCACTTTTAATCATCACTGAAGCAAAACAAAAATTCCTGCCTAACTACACAATCCTGTAGGATACAAAAATAAATGAAATCCAAACACATACAAAGAGCAGTGAAATGACTAACATGTTCACTGAATGAAAAAAACTGGAAGGAAAAAAGAAAGCATAAGCTAGAGGGGCACACAACAGAACTAAGTTTACACATAAGAAAACTAATATATGTTCTCACCAAAATGGACAAAGTTTTAGATGAGACTAAATATGCATTTTACATATAATGAGGCAGATCCTGTAGGGTTAACTGCCCTAGTACAGGCCTCAGCAATTCACAACTCAATTAGAATAGTGTCTAATGATGTTACTATAACACCAGCTCAATCAGAAAAAAACAACTTCCAAGCCAGAGAGCTGGAGTGTGACTGGACAGCATAAATTAGTTTAACACTTGGGGGGTGGGGGGTGGAGGGGAGGATCTGAAGGGGAATGCAGAAAAATAAACTCACACACAAGTAGTGAAACAGCTCAACTAAAATGTGGCTTAAGAAAGTGAAGCACAGATTTTTATAAGCAAATAAGACTTACTGCTTCCCAGTATAAGCAGAATTGCTTCGAACAGCAAAGCCATCGAAAAAGGTCAATGATGCATATAAAACTTGTTTCAAAAAACTTCACAGTGACTTTCTCAGCACAGGTTTTCATTAAATCTGAAACCAAATTGCTGTTTTTTCTAAGCTTAAGATATACAACTAAGGAACTTAACTAAACAAAGAAGTTTCTACATAGGCACTTAATTAAAAAATTAAGATGCAATACCTCTTTAAATTAAGTTCCCCCCAAAACCTGGAAAGCAAAGAAAAAGCCACTTCTATTAACAGACACAAAATGTTGTATCAATTTTCTCTAGAAAAGGTTTTAGTTTTAATTCCAACAACTTAAACATACATAATTCATCACCACCCTTACACCTAAATGGACTCCAAATTTTAAAGGCCTGGCCTACCTGTATTATATTTGTACTGTAATAAACCCATTTAAGAAAGTAAAACCGCAACATTAAGGAAAAAACATTAATTTTTTAAAAATCATACTTTAAGATGATAATGATATCAATCATTTACAACTTGAAATGTCAAATACTACTCGTATCAGAACTTTCCAAAAAAGAAAATAAATCTTTTAGCAGAAAAAGAAAAGCTGCACACTAGCACACGCCAAGCTGAAATAAATTTGGTCTAAGTACAATATAGCAAAGACAACGTATGAAAACTGCAATAAAAATTACTGAAATGCAATGGACTAAATCTAGTAAAGTTCGTAAACGTATTTATTTCTGTATTTTCTATTAGGACTAAATAGTTTCTACCAGAAAAAAAAGTACTGAACCTACTTTTTAAACACCCTGAGACTGAAAGGATGCTAAGTCTTGCAAAAGTCAAAAGAGTGCTAAAATGTGCTAAGACAGCTTTTAGAAAGTCAATTCAGACTAATTAAAATGACTCCCCATTATATTCATCATTCCTAAATAAACTGGCAGTTTCACATTTAACTACAGCCCAAACACTAAAGGCATCAAGAAACTAAATTCAAAATAAACTATTTGGAAACAGGCAAATATACTTATTTTCAAAAACTTTACTATGCTTTTCAAGGGGGAAATATTAATAATCATCAATTTTCAGTAGAGTTTTTTTTAACCTCTCTATATTGCCCTCCCCCCGCAAAAAAAATCTTTCAAGTTAACGACACACACCCACTTCTTCAAAAATCTCAAATTCAGCTTGAGAAATCACAAGAGCAGTTTGGGGCTTGAGATGGAGCCACCGCCCTACGCAGCCTACACCGATTTCACGCTCAGTACTTGCAGTTAGAGCAATAAAATAAGTTGGCTCTTTTCATTAAGAGTGCGGGGCGCGGGGGGTGGAGGCGGGCTGGTCAGTTAGGTGCTAACAATGTTTCCAGCACACCGCCACCACCCACGGTACTCAAAAAAGTAAAGTCAACAAGCCAAAGCCAGAAACACGAACTGGAGTGACACAACCAGGAAGAGAAAATAAGGGACAAAGAGAAAAAAGAAAACAACTGCTCGAGAAAAGAAATGAAGAGAGACCATTCACAACTTTCATTCAGACCGAAGGCGGCCCGCTCCCGCCGGGGCCGACACGCTCCGCCGCGAGGGACGGGGGAACTACCTCAGAACAACAAAGAAGCGGCGACGGCCGCGGTAGCACGCCCAGGGCGGACTCTACTCGGTTCCGCCGCGGACCCCGCAAGCAGCTCGGGGCCGCAGGACCGACGCCGGAGCCCGAGGAACGCGAGGCGCCGCGGCCCGGCCCGGCCCGTCAGGAGGCAGCGCCGGCTCTCCGGGCAGGGCCCGCCGGCTTCCCGCGCGCGCTCCCCGCCGCCGCCGCGGCCGGGAGCCCGCCCTGGGGCGGGGAAGCCGCGGGCGGGGACGCGCGAGCCCGGCCCGGGAGAAGGGGAGGGGGACATGGCGGGTTACCTGGGCCCGGGCGACGGCGAGGGGCTTCCGCTCTCCCGCCGCGGCTCGTCCCTCCGCCCGGCGGGCCCCGGCGCGCTCCTCGCCCCCCGCCCCGAGGCGTCCGGGCCAGGCCGCCCGCTCCTCCGCGCCGCGCCGCTGCCCGCGCGGGCCGGGCCGCCTCCGAGCTCCCGAGGCGCCCCGCGGCAGGGCCGGGGCAGGGGGGTACCCCTCTCACAGGGCGCCCGGCTCCCCTCACCCGCTCCCGCTCCCTGGGCGGCTGCGGAGCCGAGGGGAGGGCGGGAAGGGGGCCTCCGGAGGACAGCGGGCGGCTACGAATGCGGGCTCCGCCACTCGAGCCGCTCCGTTACCGCAGCGGCGGTGGCGGCGACGACGACCAGGGCCGTGTTGTTGCTGCCAACTTGTCGGGAGGACACTGAGCATGCGCGCGCGGAGACCACATCCGGGTAATTTCAGGGTTTGGCCCTTTTCTCCCCGCCGCCCCCCCGCCCCGCGCTGCTTTCCTTTCTCTAGCTGCCCCCGCCCCGCACCCCCCGCCGGAGTGACGGGAGGGTCGCTCTGCGCAGGCGCCCGCGGGCCAGCGCCGGCGGCGGGGAGCTCCGAATCCGGGCCTGGTCCCGGCCCCGGCCGGGTGCGCTACCCTCAAAGGTCGGGGGAGCGGCTGCTCCGTGGGCGTCCCTTTGCCACAAAGTACCCAAACAGCGCGGGAGAGCTCGGCGTGTTAGTGGGTGTCTAGTAAGTTTATAAACAACGATCAGGCGGGCCTCTTTTTTTTTTGAGGACCTGCGTGGCCGCAAAAAAAATGACACTTTTTAACAGCTTGCTTTGGGGAGAACGTAACTGTAGCGGGTTATTTGGGAAAGAAACGGGTGACCTCACCTTCCCTCTCCGCCAGTCCTGGGTCCCTAGATCCGGAGGTGTTTAAACTCACGAGATGCCTTCTTAAGTTGAGCAGGACAGATCATGGAACCGCAGATTTGAGAGCCTGAATAGGTGTTAATAATTCCTGAATGGTTCCTGTTGGAAGAGGTTTAGATAGAACCTCAAGACTTGGAAGGGACTTTCGGGGTCCTACAGCACACCTGTGAAGTAGGTTACCTGCTGGGTAAAGGAAAGGTGTAAACTCCACTTTTGACCTTATACTTGGGTTATTTGAAAATTTTACAAGATAAATGCATTTACTCGATGTTTTTAAAGTTTCAGAAAACACATACTATTTCAGTTCAGTCGCTCAGTCGTGTCCGACTCTTTGCGACCCCATGAATCGCAGCACACCAGGCCTCCCTGTCCGTCACCAACTCCGGAGTTTACTCAAACTCATGTCCATCGAGTCGGTGATGCCATCCAACCATCTTATCCTCTGTCGTCCCCTTCTCCTCCTGCCCCCAATCCCTCCCAGCATCAGGGTCTTTTCCAATGAGTCAACTCTTCGCATGAGGTGGCCAATTGGAGTTTCAGCTTTAGCATCAGTCCTTCCAGTGAACACCCAGGACTGATCTCCTTTAGGATGGACTGGTTGGATCTCCTTGCAGTCCAAGGGACTCTCAACAGTCTTCTCCAACACCACAGTTCAAAAGCATCAGTTCTTCAGTGCTCAGCTTTCTTCACAGTCCAACTCTCACATCCATACATGACCACTGGAAAAACCATAGCCTTGACTAGACAGATCTTTATTGGCAAAGTTATGTCTCTGCTTTTTAATATGCTATCTAGGTTGGTCATAACTTTCCTTCCAAGGAGTAAGCGTCTTTTAATTTCATGGCTGCAATCACCATCTGCAGTGATTTTGGAGCCCCCCAAAAATAAAGTCTGACACTGTTTCCACTGTTTCCCCATCTATTTCCCATGAACTGATGGGACCAGATGACATACTATTTACATATATTTTTTTCTCACCAGCCAGGAAATATTTACATATATTTAATCCCACCAATATTGCTATTGGAAGGTTCTAAGGTCATTTCTTAAATCTTCTCGCTCAGAATCTGTCTTCTCCCCCAACTAGGTTTTACTCTCAGGGCCCTAACCCTATCCTGCCCTTTCCTTTTCTGCCCAGCAGCCTCTACAACTGTCATCTTCAAACTGGTGATCCCTGGGCTTTATGAAGACTTTCCAAGACCAGTTTTAAGGTGTTCATTTCCAGATGCCTCACCAGCATGTGTTCTATGGTCTAAAATTGCTCAGCTTGGGACTTCCCTGGCCATCCAGCGGTTAAACCTCCAGGACACAGGTTCAATTCCTGGTGAGGGAACTAAGATCCTCCCTGCTGCATGCAACCAGAGATTTTTTTTTTTTTAATTTCTCAGCTTAAGAAAGAACCTGAAGACACAGCATCCCCTTTCAAAACTGTTCAACTCCCACCATACAAAGCCAAGTAAAAACTCACCCATTACTCAGACACATAGATCCAAGGTGTAGAAAACCTCTAGGAGAATTCAGAGGAACATTCAGAAATTGGTGTCCTGCTGAAAAGTGACTCAGAACAAATGGGTTATAAGTTATCTTACAAGTCAGGTGGCTTCCAGTTCTTTGCTATCAACAAAATTGAAGGAAACTTTAACTACGTGACTTGATAACAGATCACCATGTGATTCTTGGCAGTATACTTGGAAGAACTTAGAGAATTGAGTAATGTTGCTAAATCTAAACTTCTTCCATTCCTATCTCTAGTAGTTATCTATACACATGCATCTTGTCACCTTTGCCGTACTCTATTGGAAGCAAATCACCAGTCCCACCCCCATTCAAGGGAAGGAGACCACACCTGTATTCCTGGAGGCCCGATCCTGTGGGGCCACATTAGAGTCTGTCTGTTTACTCATGCAAGGGACTGTTCCTATAAGCTCAACCTCCTCCGAATTTCTTCGGATTCCTTTCAGATCCTGGTTTAAGGGAAACCTGACTTCCCTAGGGCATTGTTTCCCCTTCCCCTCTCAAGTAGTAGGTCCTGTTTTTTCAACCGTGAGCCTTTTAGACTGGGCTTGGAGGTGAGGCAAGCATCCTGCTTACACTTGCACAGTGTTTCTAGACCATCCTTTAAATCTTGTCTTCCAGTGTCCCTCATCCTTGCTCACATTCCCCTCATTTTTTCATCATTTGCTCTCATCAGGCCTTCCAGCACCATTTCAGTCCTAATCCTGGGCAGTTATTCTATAACATGTATACTCCGATGATCATCCACCTTCCCTAACCTCTTAGTTCCTTGACTTCTCCGAGGATCTAGTCCTATCCTCACTCTGCCTCTCATTCCCTTGGCATAATCACAGGAGCCTCATCAAACTTGGCAACTTTCTTCATCATCACAATTTCAAACACCTCACTCTGAACACTACCTCCTGTTTCCGTATTTCCCTGTAGTACTCTAACTCCAAAAGTTCTGCAGTGCACTTACCACTCTCTCCTATCCTTAAAAGTGAGTCGCTCAGTCATGACCCACTCTTTGCGACCCCATGGACTGTACAGTCCATGTAATTCTCCAGGCTGGAATACTGGAGCGGGTCGCCGTTCCCTTCTCCAGGGGATCTTCCCAACCCAGGGATCGAACCCAGGTCTCCCATATTGCAGGCAGATTCTTTACCAGCTGAGCCAGTCCCATCCTTACCCAACTTAAATTCCTGGCCAGTCATCCCACAGTCACTCTCTTGCACACACTCTCAACCCTCTCCCCTCTTCCGCCTTGTCGTGCTTACTGGGCAAAACCACAGCCCTAATTCAAGCCCACTCTCCATCTGTTTCATGTCGGCCCTGTGCCTCTGAATGTGGCTGAAGAAGAACCCAGTCACTAACCGGCTTCACTGTGATTTCATCACCGCGAACTGCCTGTGGGCCCTTAATGCTTGCTGCCCAGGAATCCTTCCCTCCTCTGTTCTTCTAGATGTCAGACCTTCTCTGTCCTCCAACCTGTACCCTCTTCCCTCCCATCCTCACTAGTTCATGACCTTGCTTCCTATTCTACTGAGAACGTTGAACCAATGAGACAGAAACTTCCACAACATCTCGCTCTCTCATCTACCCATAAACCACATACTAGCCTCTGTAACCTCTTCTCCACCCTCCCTTCCATTATGTAGGTGAATTTTCCATGTTCCGAATTAAAGCTAGTGCCCCTGCTAAACACAAGAGACCCTAATATTGTCTTGTTTAATCCAGATCATCACCATGACTCTGCCAATTGTTCCCCCTCCTCTTTTAGCAGTGTTTCCCTCTCTACTGGCTGATTCCCATAAGCTTATAAAGAGCTCTTATTTCTCCAGTCCTACAAAATCTATTTGATTCACTTCCACTAGCAGTAACCTTCCCATTTTTCTGCTTCCTTTACAACAAAACGCCTAAGAGTTTCCTGTGCTGTCTCTTGTTCTGCTCTCACTCTAGAGCAACAGAACACATACCATATGGTACAATTAATATAAAGATAAAAAGCATGCCAAATATAATGTGTATGTTATGGCTGTACACATATGTAATAGAATCATATCAACACACATGAGATTACATATGTGTGTATTTTATGTCTTGAGCTGAGAGGGTCACCCACACCCCCTTAAACCCCCTCCATTCATGCTTTCATCCTTATCACTTTATCACAAGTGTTCTTGTTGAGGTCAACCGTGAACTTCACATTGCCTAAGCTGTGCCCTCTTGCTTTTCCTCCTCATCACTTCATCAGATCCTTCATTCCCTGACTTCTTTCTTTTTTGTTGATTCTATCTCTTCTCCCAGACCTCGTAATGGCCCAGGGCTCATTCCTTGGATTTCTTGTTTTCTTTACCTACTCACATTTCACTGGTGATCTAATCAGGTCTCCTGACTTGCAGTACTCTGTAAGATATATGATATCATCACAGAGGATGACAACTCCCAAATTTATATCTTTATCTCCAACTCCTCATCTGAATTGCAGATGATACCAGCAGCCTGTTACGCATCTTCTCTTTCAGATCTCTTCAGCCCAGCAACTTCCCTGTCTCTGTTGGTGACACGTCCATCCTTGAAGTTGCTCAGACCAAAAGCCCTGGAGTCATGCTAGACTTCCCTCTTTCTTATCCATCCCATGTCTAGTCCAGAGTGAGACTCTCCCTTACCACCTCCACTGGTCCCCTGGTCCATTCCACCATCACCTAACACTAGAGTTAGTCTTCTCAAAGCTCTCCCTTCTTTCACGCTTGCCCCTTAGAGTCTATTCTCAGCAGAACAGCCAGAGTGACCCTCCTAAAATATGTGTCTGCTTAAATCCCTGCTATGGCTCCTCATTTCATTCGGAGTAAAAGTCTATATCCTTAAAAGAGTCTACAGGGTTCTGTGAGATCTACACCACCGCCACACTTCTGATCCTTACCTCTCTGATCTCATCTTCTGTTCCTCCTCTCCTGGATGACTCTGGTCTGGCCTTACTGACCTCCTGCCTGACCTCAGAAGACACCAGCCAAGCTCGAAAGGTAGGACCTTTGCATTAACTGTTCCCTCTTCTTACCACCCACTTCCCCAGATATCTGCACTGCTAACGCCCTCATCTACTTTAGTCAAATACCATCTTCTCCCTGAGGCCCACCCAGACCTTTTTAAAAGCACAACCTATTCTGAACCCTCTCTCTAAACCCCAGGTCCCCCTTCCCCTGTTGTCTTCTCATAGCTCTTATCTTCTAACAGACTGTACTGTCTACTTATGTGTTATGTGTACTGCTTATTGTCTGTCATTTCCCCTAGAATGTAGGCTTCACAAGAGCAGAGATTTGTCTGTAGTGTTTACTAGTTTATCCCAAGTGCCTAGAGTTCCTATTGCCATGTAGGAGGTACTGAAATATTTGTTGAATGAATGAACAAAATGTTTCATGCTTCTATCCTTACAAGTGTAAACTAGAAATAGAGTTGATTCTGAACCCTATTTTATTCCAGCAAAAATATTTTACACTTTGACAGTTGTTTTTTTTAATTGGAGGATAATTGTTTTGCAAAGTTGGGTTCATTTCTGCTGTAATTTTCATAATATGTAATTTAGATAAATTAGATATTCAAAATTGAACCAAAAATAACAAAATTGTATCGGTAATACAATCAAGATAAATGTTTTAAACTTAGGGACGCAAAGCTTTTTTAAATTTTTTATAAGGAAATACAATAGGCTGATCAATAAAAGACTTTGCAGCCTAAAATATCACATTAAAACGCTCAGGGGCAAATGGAATAGAAATACAAGATAAGGAGAAAAAGAATTACGTTAAATTTCTCTTGAAGAATTGCTTGTTCATGTTTTTTTTAAATGGATGCTAGATGCATCATGGTATTTAGATTCCCTTGGATACATTTAAAGAATGATGTAAGCATATTATTTTTAAATGGCAATACCTATAATATGCCAGAAATAACAAACTTTGCCATTATTTAAACTTAAGATGAAACATTTTACATATGACCTTTAAAAATACAAGAAGAAACATAATTTGTCAAATTTCTTTTAGGAGGTAAGTAAGAAATTTTGAAGACCACAGTCCCAGAGGAGCCAAGCTGCCACCTTTCCTGAAACCTCCCTGAGTGAAACGTCTCATTTCCCAGATCCATCCTGTCTTGGGCAGGCACAGGCTTGAAAGCTCTCTTCCTCTTTTGTCTTTTTTGATGGCCCCACCTCCTGTGAAATGGAACTTCCCCCAAAGACCCTGATGGTGGGAAAGATTGAAGGCAGGAGGAGAAGGTGGCAACAGAGAACAAGATGGTTGGATGGCATCACCGACTCAACAGACAGGAGTTTGAGCAAACTCCGGGAGATGGTGAAGAACAGGGAACCCTGACATACTGCAGTCCACAGGTTAGCAAAGAGTCAGACACAACCTAACATCTGAACGACAGGTTGAGGAGAATCCAGAGCTTTAACCTTTTCATCCCAGAGGTGGAGACAGAGAGCTCTCACCTCTTGCACTGCCCACCTAGGAAGGAATAGGATAATACAGTATTCCTCTGGAAATGGCCTAGTAGTTAACAGCTCACAGCTCCAGGCAAGAGTTAGTACATAGACATTTTAGAGTTAACCCAGCGTTTTGTTTTGTTTTTACAGTTATCCAAGTTGCCTTTGAAAAATCACTTGACATTGATTAACCTGAACACTATCAGTGATTCCCACATTCCTAAAAACACTACAGTAAATCCTGTCATCTCCTTTGACTTAAAGTATGACTGACGTGCATTTGACTTATCAAGTGATTTGTTCTTTTAGCTTTGTTTTGTTTAGTCACTAAGTCAAGTCTGACTCTTTTGTGATCCCTGGGCTGCAGCCCACTAGGCTCCTCTGTCCATGGGGGTTTTCCAGGTAAGAATACTCGAGTAGATTGCCATTTCCTTCTTCGGGGGCTCTTCCCAGCCCAGGGATCGAACCTGTGTCTCCTGCATTGCAGGCAAATTCTTTACCACTGAGCTACCTGTGGTAAGCCCTCTTTTAGCTTTCTAGGTGGCCAAAGCCAGACTCAGTGAGGAAGAGAGTAGACAGATGGAGCCGAGGCTCCATCCCCTTCCTTCCTCCGTCCCTCCCTCTCTCTTTTTTCTTTCCTTACTAAATGGCTGTAATAGCCAGAGCCAGCAAGGGCCACAAGAGCAGCTGTGGACAGAAGCTGACAGAATCCAGAGTGGAGGGTGAGGGTGGGTGGGGAGGGGAATGTGACTGGAGTGTGAGTCCATAGTCTCTGTTCAAAAGATTAAATTGAAACTTGAAATTCAGAATGACTAGTATGTATCTTCTTCTTTCTCTCCTTTAAGACTCAGTGATCCTCTAGGATCACTGGTGTTTGTCCAGGTTGGGCACCCTTTCTTTCTGCTCCTAGACTGGCCTGTGAGTTCCCTGAGGACAGAGGTTCTCTTTTCTGGCCCTCAGCAGAATGTCTAACGCTGGACCATTCATGGAATGTTCGAATGTTTGCTGAGTGAATGATCGGAGGGGAGAGGTGGGAGCTAAGACTGGGAAGATAGGTTTGGAGCCAGGCTGTGAAGGAAGACACACTCATGAGTTGAACTCCAGTGGAAGACGGATACGTGTGGGTTTTGTGTACAGTTTTATTGAGGTATAATCTGCATTGGACCATAATCTACATTAACTTTTTTAAGTAGAGAGTGAATTTAGGTAAATCTATACATCGTGCAATCACCCAGTTAGAACACTTTCATCACTCCAGAATGTTCCCTTCTACCCCTCTTCAGTCAGTCCTCACCTCCATACTCCAGACCACAGATAACCACTGACATGCCTCCTGTTGCTAAGGTTTTGGTTTTTCTAGAATTTCATATAAATAAAATCGTATACTATGCAGCTTTTTGTAACTAGGTTCTTTCACTCAGCATGTTGTTTTTGAGGTCCAAAATATCATTGTATGTATCAGTAGCTAGTTCCTTTTGATTGTTGAGTAGTAGTATATTGTGCTGTCGTTGCATAGTTGCTAAGTTGTGTCCTGCTCTTTTGCAACCCTGTGGACTATATACCTTGCCAGGCTCCTCTGTCCATGGGATTCTCCAGGCAAGAATACTGGAGTGGGTTGCCATTGCCTTCTCCAGGGGATCTTCCCAACCCAGGGATTGAGCTCACATCTCCTGAATTGGCAGGCGGATTCTTCAAAATGTTAATAATCGGTGAATAGGGATAAAGGCTACATGGACGTTCTTTGTACTGTTCTTGCAAGTTTTCTGTAAGATTAAAATTTTTTCAGTCACTTGCCCACGTGATAAAGTTCCTGGAATTTGAACCCTCTGTAGCCTCCAGCCCTCCACAAACTGTGCTTGTGGAGCTGCCCAGTGACCCTAATAGCTGTTTGCTGAAGCCAGGCCCCAACAGGGCCTCCTGACCTGATGCCTCAGGAAGGAGGGGGCCCAGGTGCCTTAGAGCAGTGTTTCTCCAACTTTGAACACACACACAAATCCCTCAGAGGTCTTGTTACAATGCAGAATCTTCTTCAGTGGATCCAAGGTGGAGCTGGAACGTCTGTGCTTCTAACAAGTTTCCAGATGAGGCGGATCCTGCTGGTCCCTGGATCAGAGTTCCAAAGGTGAGGCCCTAGACTCTAGGACCCAGAACTCTAGGGCCTAAAATGCAAAATGTGGCGGGGAGGGGAGGAATAAAAAGGAACATTTAGGAGACGGTCCACAGTTGTGATTCTATGTACTTTAAATGCTTTTCAGTCAAAAGCTTTCATTTTTCAAACATCCTGGCATTCGATAAAGACTCAGAGTGAGCCTACTGGGGCACCATACTTTAAAGTAAGGAAATGAATGGTGATTAACGTTAACTGAAAGAGTCATGATTTATCCGGTCTTTCCTTGTCCTCGGGGGCTCCAAAGCAGCCTTAAATCTAGACACTTTTTAGCCCAACAAGTGACCTTGTCATCCAACAGTCTCACTTAGCATCACAGGCACAAGAGAGAACTTTGTTGCAGGCAGGGAGCCCTGTAAATGATGATTTCATCAAAAGCAAAAACAAAACATTTAAAAAACACTTGGCATTTGTGCTGTGGCATCATTTTAGTGACGTAAGAATTTTATAATGAGTGTTTGGACAAAGGACTTTCAGCTTTCAACCCTAAGGGGGAAAGTATCTTACCTTAACGTCGCCTACATCTTTTATTATTTTTAAAGCATTCTGAGGGGGAGACAACCCTGAGGAAAACAATTGATTTTACCCAGGACCAAAATTACAGTTACTACTTTTTTGGAGCTTTGAGGATAATCAGGTGCCACCTTTTAGGGACAAGGTATCTGAAGGAGAAGGATCTTCCCTATTGTCTCAGTGGTAAAGAATCCAATTTAGGAGCCATAATGCAGGTTCGATCCCTGGGTCGCAAAGATCCTCTGGAGGAGGGAATGGCAGCCCACTCCAGTATTCTTGTCTGGGAAATCCCATGGACAGAGGAACCTGGCAGGCTACAGTCCGTGGGGTTGCACAGTCAGACTCAACTGAGTGACTAAAGGACAATTTGAAGAAGAAGGATGCTATGAGCATTTGAGCAGCATACACCTCACATCTACCTCTCAGGAAGGAGCCCTGAGAAGGACAAGGATACCTGGTTCCAAGACTCAGCCTTTCAGTCCCCTTCTTCCAAGAAAACATGGCCAGGGACCTCCCTGGCGGTTCAGTGGTTGGGAATATGCCCTACAATGCAGGAGACACAGGTTCGATCCCTGGTCCAGGAGGATTCTGCTAGGTGTGGGGCAACTGAGCCCATGCACATAACTGCTCTAGAGCCCGCTGCACCCTAGAACGTGTGCTCTGCAACAAGAGAAGCCACCGCAACGAGGAGCCTGCGGACTGCAACTGAAGCATGGTTCACGCGCTCTGCAACTAGAGAAAAGCCCGCACACAGCAGCGAAGACCCAGGGTAGCCAACAGATAATTAAAATTTAAAAAAAAAGAAGAAGTGGCCAGCAGAAGCCTCACTCTCTGAGGCTCCCAGAACACGTTGAGCCCGCTGCGAGTTTTCTTTCCCTTTCTCCGGTGGTGGCGGATGCCTCTCTGCTTTTGCTTCTTCCCTTTTCCTTCGCCTGGCTGACTTTCAGTTCCAGGCAGAGCTGATAAGCTGCCCCCAGCTGCTGCCTTTGAACTGTCCCTACCCACTTCCTGCCCGCTGCTCTCTTCTTGCCTTGGTTACCCAGAGCTGGCTGGAGCCTGGCCTGCAAGGTGACCCCAGTGAGGAAGCATGGTAGGAGCTAGGGTCTGCTCCTAAGACATATGCGGGCCACAGCCCTCTCCCAGGACAAGCGAACCTCCTCCATCGCTGGAAATGAGAAGGCCCTGGATGTCGGAGCTGTTTCCTCGCCCTCATCCTTTTTAGGGGAGGCTGATTATCAGGTCAGCTCCTACTCGGCTCAACAGTAACCCCTATCCCCTCTAAATAAGACACCCTGGGACTTCCGTGGTGGCCCCATGGTTAAGAATCTGCATGCCAACACAGGGAACACAGGTTGGATCCCTGAGCTGGAAATATTCCATATGCTGCAGGACAACTAAGCTCATGGGCCACAACTACTGAGCTGGTGCGCCATAGCTGCAGAGGCCCTTACAGCTAGGCCCGTGCTCCACAACAAGAGAAACTACTGCAGTGAGATGTCCATGCACCACAACCAGGGAGTAGCCTCGTTCGCTGCAACCAGAGAAAGCTCACGTGGAGCAACAAGGGCAATAAATGAATAAATAAAAGCCCTGGCTCAGAAGCCCCCTCCAGCCTGGATGCCTCCCCCGCAACCGCTGTCCCCAACACACAGATAATCGGCTTCAAAGGGGAGCTTAGACTTGGTCTGAACTTAACCTGAGGCTGCACTTGTTAGAATTCGCATCTGTACCTCCCTCCTAACCGCCGTACCCAAGGCTCCTTGGTAAGTGCTCTTTGCGGAAGTGTTTGACCCAAAGGCCCCAGAAGGCAGGCTCATGCCCTTTCTCCCTTGCAGCCTGCCCTCCACCCTCCCTGCTCCCCCAGAGAGCAAATCAGAACCGATTCTTCAGCCAAGGAAACGGCTACGGTGGGCAATCATGGACCGAGCCCAGGGTTTGCCCTCACTTCCTTCCCCACCTTTCCAACTCTCAGTCACCCAAAGCACCCCGCCCTCTGCCGAGCAATGACTCCATCCCAGCTGATCTCATCGGAAAAACCACAAGCCCCCAGCTCGAATTCATTCCCTACGGTCTTGTGTGTTTGCATCTGCTTCATTAGGAGACAGTAACGTGGTGGTGGGGATTGTGGATGGACTGTGGCGTCAAAGGGACCTACGTTCAAATCCAGCTCCATCGCTGTGTTCCTAGGCAAGTTATGGAAACTTTTCAGCTTTATTTACTTCATCCGTAAAAATAGGTACCCTCACACTTTTTAAAGCTTTTTCCTTGAGAATTAACTGAAAATTCTCTCAACAAAAATTTAGTGAGTGTCTACTTTTTGCCAGGCACTGCTCTAGAAGTCTTTAAAGAGCTTACATTCTAGAGACAATAAGCCTGTAGCCAAACAAATAATGTAATATTATACAGTGATAACTGTTACTTAAACAGAAAAAAAAAAAAAAACCCACAGAGAATGACTAGATTGGGAGAGAAGATGGTATTTTAAATAGGATGATTAGGGAAAGTTGTCTGAAGCTATGACATCCAAGGAGACCTGAAGTGTAAAAGAGTGAGGTATAAAAAGTCGGGGGAGAGCAGGTATAAAGATCCTGAAGCAGAAATGAGCTTGATAAATGCAGCAATAGTAGGATCACAGCAGACAGAACAGAGTCAGGGAGAGGGGCAAGGCTGGAGATGAGATCAGAGAGGTGATATGTGTGGGAAAGATTTCACAGATAGTAAGTGTTCCATCAGCTATTCTTAAAGGGCTCGCATTTCCCTAACAAGGCTGTGTGTTCTCTGAGAGCATTCATATTGAACAACTATTTACTGAGTGCCTACTAAATGTCAGGTACAGTGCTACAACATAGAAATATAATAATGAACAAGACCGTTGTGGGAGAGAAAAATGATGAGAAAAGGAGCAGGGTACAGTGCAGGATCAGAGACAGCTGAGGCTACCTATTGCAACTTGAGGAGCTGAACTTGGACTTGGAGGCATCCTGATGTTTGTCACACTATTGTATGACACCGCCAAAGCGAGGGCCCAGTGAATCATTATTCGAATATTAACAGAAGGGAAAAGAGATACAGGATAAATATGAATCAAAAGAAACGATTTAGTATCACTCAAAATAGGCATTACAGTAGGAAACTTCATAAGGGACAAAGAGGACTTCATAAGCAGTACAGACTGAGAAGCTATAAAGATTATAAACTACATGCACCCAACAATATCACCTCAAAAACTATAAAGCAACACCTGATAGACGAATCAACAAGCATAACTGGACACTTAACATAGAGATCTTCTTTGACTTACTAAGGAGTTTTATCTTGAAAACACTTGAAAACATTAAAACATTGAAAACACTTAATACACTTAATCTTCTAATCATGGCTTAGCCTAGCCTACCTTAAACATGCTCAGGATACTTACATTAGCCAACAGTTGGGTAAAATTATCTAACACAAAGCCTATTTTATAAGGAAGTGTTGACTATTTCACG